TGAAATAAAGATCAATGTGGTCACGTATAATAACACACTTTATTTTCTTAAGTAATTAAGTATATGAAAGAAATCTAAATCTTCATTATCGGCATGTTTAAATAGTTATTGTTGTTTTGTTACAAAACACTGTTTGATCGCATTCATCCAATTAGTACATGGGTACCTTACAAAGTATATTTGCTTTTTTGATTGTTAAAGAATTAATTTATAAAGTGTAAGAAAAAAAAGAGGAAATTATGATTGAAATTAAAACATTGTCCTATAAAAGTAAGATCAAGTTATTAAGTAAAATTAAGTTAGGTTCTGTATCTATAAAAGAAGAATGATTGAAAGACGTAAACCGTATTGTTGTATTAAAGCAGAGCATATTTTATAAAGGGTTTTAAGAAAGTTCGTTCTACATTTTTCTTTTATTTTCAGAAAGAAATACTATGAGAAGATATTTACAGTTTGTGATATTTTATGTTTACAGAGTCCATTCTTGCTACTGTTAAGGTTTTAACTGTCTTTTGTTAAATCAATAAGGGGGGGGGGGGGGCAGGTATTAAAACAGATTATGTATGTTCAGAAAAATTAGGGATGACGCATATTTGTGACATATATTAAGCGCACAGGTTAAAACATCCTTTCAAATATTATGCAAAATTATCAAATCTGTGAAAAATTCCAAAACGACAATTCTATTCTATTGAAAAGTGATCTATCGTTCTTATACCTACGCTCATCAGCTTGTCTGATGCAAGATAAGATATGAAGAAAAAACAGTAAATTATCCTTTATTTTCACTCAAAATGATTAGCATTTCTAACATTCGAGTACTTTAAAGATGGTATATATATTTTCATATGGAAGAAAAATCCTATAACTTCCTGCTAGAAATGAATTGCTAGAAATCTAAAGCACACTCTTGTGATTTTGTCAGACTTGAAAATTCATCGCTTTAGTTAAGCACTACTTTGAAATTTTTGAAAATATTTCATCCTGGAACGAACTTTCTTAACACCCCTTATAATAACACACTATTTTAGAAATCCAAGTTCGCTATTCTTTTCATCCTCTTTCTTCATACAACTGAAATGTAACATAATTTACTTTAAGAAACTTAATGTCAGAAAGAAAAGGAAAAAAAACAACAACAAAAAAAAACACGAAGGATTAGGACTTATACATGTGTATATTTTCCTGATCAAATTAATAAATCAATTACGAACTATTAATTTACATCATCACGGTACACATGCAGTCATGGAAACAACCAAATAAAAAAATTACAAATTGTGCAACAGAATATTTAGGGATTTTTTCTTCCGTATTACATGTATGATTAAAATGGGGGAAAACAAAGTTAGGTGTATTTTCAAGCAAGAATGAAACGTAATTCGTTAAACAATATAAAAATCATCAATCAATCAATGACCACTCACAAATAAGACAACAATTCTTTTTTTTTGTGTTTTGAATATGTCTCTCTTCATTTTCTTTTCTAAAAGGTTACAAAAGTTTATTGAAGGTTTGATCCATTTTGAAGAAAATACCCCACCCACCGAAAAATAAGTTAAAAAACTCAAAATATATGAACCTCCAAATCATCAGAGCTGAGATTAGGTAGCATGGAGGAGTGAGCGTCCCATGTCCTGTGTTCTTTGTCATGATCGGGAAATAACGAAAAAATCAGCTTGTAAATAATGGCATAACAATTAGTATGAAAAACGTCAGTCAGTATTTGACTAAACGATAAATTGTATCGACCATAGAACTTAAGAAATTATGACTCAAAAAGAGGCTGCTAATATTCTTGTTTCATCAACTTGTTTGTCCAAAACTTACCTAGTTTTAGAAATTGTTTATACTTTGCGTATCAAATCAACTGAGATATATTAACCCCGAATGCAGTTGATGAAGGTATACTGCTGCAGAAGTAAGGGAAGTTGACGATTTAAAAGTTAAAGTCATTACATTTATCACAAAGCTTAACTAGCTTGTTAATTTACTATTTGCATCGAAAGCAAATTTTTCAATGTTATTTTTAAATAAAAGTCAGGAAAAAACACACACAAAATATTCACATAAAAGAATTAAAGGCTCAGATTAATCTTTCAATGCTGAAATCATCTTTTAAAAGATATATTTCATTGAGTTATTACATAAATTTTCGTGTTAAGCAACCAATATTTAAATTATAGCTTTCCAATACCATTTAGAAGTTTAGATATGTGGGAAATAATATCCTGTTTACAAAAAAAGAAAATACTATACATCTCAAATTACATTACAAAAATTAAATTAAAAAATCACATGTTATGGAAAAAGATTGTGGCATATAATGTGTTTAATCAAACATCGCATATTTTGTGCCCATTCTATAAAAAAAATTGAAGAAATACTGATAACAAGGTTCATAGGTTCATATTATTAGAATTCGCAGCAAATATTTTGAAACTATTTTGATCGTTTTCGTTAAAAATAGATAATTTACAGCGGGCTTTAAACAATCGGGAAAAGTTCATATCCCATTTGAGATTTATTGAAAAAAAATCACTGTCGCTCTTTCCTTGTGATCTTTGGTAGACCTAAATAACTATTCTCTGAAAAAAAGTCGATCAATTAAACAAACTGAACTCTTCAAACTAAATATTTGAAAACATAAATAGCTTAGATTCATTTCAAACTTTTGCACTGCCACGTTCGTCCAACCTCGTGAGCGAAGGACGACAGGGGAATCAATAAATCGAAAATCGATGGATAAACCGAGATCAGAAAAGAAAGGATAAGGAACGATGATTGTAAGGAAAACATTTAAGCACCTACTCATTCTGTCTAATTTGGCAAACATAAGTGATCTAGGGCTGTAATGATTGCAGAATATAATTGTGCTTCTCTTTTACTGATGGTAATCAAAGGATACGAATTAAAGGCGCCATAAGTATTTGAATGATTTAAATTTTAATTTTTTGTTCGTGATTTTCTATGAAATTTACAAGTGTATTGAACTCAATTTATTAATCTCTTCATAATTTTACGGTTGCATTGGAGTATTGGCTTATGGGTAATTAGTCTTTCTTTGGTCAAAATTTTCTTTATCGTATGCATAAAAATAGGTATCATAAAAGCATGAATTTATAATGTTCTATGATATTTGATAAAATATATTTTTCAAAATGTATGACATTGTTCCAATTTCTACGCACATACACTAGTACTGTACATGGTATTATAGATTTTAAATTTCTGAAAGTATTTTCAGGACAAATTTTCTTTAATCTTTATCTCTGTCATTTGATAAATTAAATACATATATATTTACTTCATTCAAAATGAAGGATTTTTTGGGCATTTTTTCTTTGAATTAAGAACTCTCAGTAGAAATGTCCCTTAATTTCAAATGATCACATAATGAAAAATCGTAACTATTAATATTTTCGATCATTTCTTAGGCTGATGCAAAAGCGTTTCTGAATTAACTGGTAATATATGATAGAAAGATATCAGCTTTCTTTTCACTGAGCTGGTGGTCAGTGATGTAGAATTGATTATAACTGTATTTCATTTACTAGTATTTACATTAAGGTCATTTTGTCTATATAGTCATGTGTTTTAAAAGAACACATTATCCAGTTAAGCAAGGTATTTTATAGTGAGGTAGCTTGATACAAAATCCATACATATAATTTTGCAAATGAGACGAACAGCATTTAAGTTCAAAAGTCCATTAAACAATACAAAATAGGAGCAGAGCAAACAAGGACCTCCGCAATGTAAGAGGCGGGATCAGGTGCCATGGAGGTGTGAGCATCTCCTTTCGACCGGTCACATCCGTCGTGTGCTCCTTGTCATGATCGGGAAATAATGGAAAATCCGTCGTCAATTCAGTGTGTAAATAAGGGACTAATAATAAGTATGAAAAAGTCAGCCAGCATGTGACTCCATGATAAATTGTATTTGCTGACAAGGTCATTATACCGACCATAGAACAAAATGATGACTTTAAACGAGACTGCTGATATTCTCGTCTCATCAACTTGTTTTTTTTTTCAATAACTTACCTCGTTTTAGATATTGTACATACGTAGAGTATGCTCTTGCGTAAATCTCACTAATGCGAAATAGCTGAAATTCCTTTGGTAAATTGTAGAATTTCCTCAAGAAAAAGAGGATTTACCATATATGTATATATATACCCTGGTATATATATATATATATATATATATATATATATATATATATATATATATAAAGTATAAAAGGTCGTTTTTTGTAACTAATATTTACTATAGATATTTCAATGTTTTTTCTTCATTATTTTGTTTGCAGAGATATGACGTCTACGAGAGCTTTTCTACTTTTGTACATTATTTTGGAAACTCTTCATTCAGGTTGGTGTATTTGAATAAGATGATTCCAACGATCAAATAGAAGATAATTGTTCATTGCTTGTATCCTAGTAATTCTGTATTGTAATATAAATTCAATGCAGTCATTGTAAATAAACGGGAATTATGATTCGAAGGATTAACATAAAGGACTTTAAAATTTAGATTATGCACTAATTTCTCTTTATATTGATAATCAGTAAAATTTTAATCGTTCGAGGGATTTCTTGCTACAGTGTTTTTTGAAAATTGATATAGGGTGTTTTAAAAAATAAATTGCATAGACATCATTTACCCATAAACCTTATAAAAATATTTAAAAAATATTGATAGTTTGCGAGAAGCTTTTTAATGCAATATCGATATTTTTTATGTAGTGCATCTTTTCATCTTCTGTAGTTATAGAAGTGATGTTGATGGATTTTACATTATTTATCGATGCAGATTCTGGGCTATACAATATTTTAAGCTGATGAAATTGCTTTTCTTTATTTTCATATGCATGATTCCGAGTATGGCATAGTCATTGATGTCTTTTTGTTGCAATAATAAAATTGTTATTGCAGGAATGATTGCTTGAAAAAATTACCCATAAGTATCGTTTTCATTGTTTATTCAAAGTACACAATGCTAACATTTCGTTTTATATTCATTTTATATTTGAATATCTTTGCAGGATTTTTCACAACCACTAAAGAAAAGCTCACATTCTATACGAATGCTAAGTCTTGGAATGATGCAAAGACAATCTGTGAACAAAGTGGTTCATCCTTAGTTACAATTTCTTCTCCGACGAAACAATACTTCATTGAAAAATATCTTCAAAACGAGTGGGTTCAATCTGTGTAAGTTTAAATTAAATTTAAGATGAAAATGTATTATTGTAAGGCTACGATTGTTAAATAAATTATTAAGACTTTTTAAAGTATTGTTAAAATAGTTCACACACCCCTATACTATATGTACCTTTCAAATACTAGTACCGGTCATTAAAGCTATATTTTCAGCTGAAATATCTCTGAAATATTGTTGACCCAACGTTAAACATAAGGAAATCAATCGATCAACCAATCAATCAATCCAATAATCAATTCATTCACAGTCTGAAATTAAAGACTGTTATGAGTATTCTTTTATATTTTTTTCCTATACATGTGTATTTAAAAAAAATAATATTTTTTTTATTTGCAAATAATTATATGGAGATAACGAACAGTATTCAAGATCAAAATTCTATAAAACAATACAAAATAGGAGCAGAGCAAAAACAGACCTCCGAAACACCAGAGATGGGATCAGGTGCCATGGAGGAGTGGGCATCACCTACCGACCGGTCACACCAGCTGTGTGTACCTTGTCATGATTGGGAAATAACGGGGAAATCCGTCGTCAATTTAGAGTGAGAAAAGAAAAAAGTCAGCCCAAATTGGAATTTGAACAAATCATTTTTCGACCCCCACTTGACTCGCAGGTAATGGAAACGGAGAAATCAGAATCCTTATTACTCGTTTAAAGAACAATCCAAACCATCTGCTTAAAGTGAAATGGCTTCGACGTAAAATGCATGAGGAATCCTATAGGGACCTTGCTAATAATAAAAGTGAAAAGCGTCTTCTTGATTGCCAGAGTGAAAATGAAATTCTGAAAGCTTATTACTGGCATACTAACAGGACACCACCACATGTCTTGTAGATCATTTAACTACTGCTTAATGGTTAGTGTATTGGCTTTCATTTTTCATAGATACTCGTACATTCTTCCTTTGGGTAACAACATTTTTCATCCTTTGATCTTGGAGTTTGACTTGTATTTGAGAAGCTTTAACCTTTGCCAAAGATATGGAGATATCAATTTTTCACAACCACACTTTGTACCTCTATCACAGTAGAGTTTTTCTAATTCTTTTCCAACTAACTGAGTTTCATATAAAATCATGTTAAAGCGATTGAGCTTTGTGTGCATACAGTTTTTAGGCGTCACCAACTTTTTCAATAAATTAAATCATTCGATATTACTTCTCTTATTCAGATATTTCTTTGAAACATAAAGAAAAAAGACGATTTAACTGTTATTATTTTCTGTATCGTTCTACAGCCCCGGAAATGTATGGACGGGATTACATGAAATAGATTCGTCAGACGGATCAAAGGTAAAATGGATCGACTGCAACAATGTAACCTATCACAAATACGTCACGACACCAAGTTCAGTAGCAGACGACAATAAATGCTTTTCAATTAATCCGTCAACAGGACAATGGAAGACTGAGAGATGCGATGTGAAATTAAGCTTTATATGCGAAGTAAATTTAGGTAGGAATACTAAGTATTTTGAAGGAAGAAAAACAATTTCGTTGTGGATCGAATTAAAAGCGGAATATAATGTGACATTATTCAGACCCCCAGTATCTTAAGCGATTAAGCGGTCATTTCCTACTGCGCTGTTGTTTATAATCTTCTTTTGAGGAAGGAAATACACTGTAGATATTATCTATATGATTATATAGGATGCTTTTTTAAATCATTATACAAAATAATCCCTAATCAGTAATGGTCCTGCTAGGTTAACACGCGATTCAGTCAAAATGATAATAATTGAGATCAACTATTCTGTTTTCACTTTTACGAAAAAAGAGCCTAATACTACGATGGCCGATATCAGCCTGTACATATACCGACTGCTATTGAAATTTGTACATCTAAAATGTACATTGACATGTACATTTTGCAATGACAGTGCACACTTTGTGCTCTTAACTTTTGTCTGTACATGTAATGTACAAAATGACAAAAAGGCAAATGTCAAAACGTGAACATTTGATACACATATTCTTCTAATTATAATTCCTGCTCAGCGAAAAACCATTAAATATGAATAAAATTGGACAAGGCACTGAGAAGATGAGTTTTGCAATAAAAAGGATGAAAAATATTAAAAGAAAATGTAAAAATTCCTGTGGACATTAGATCTAATGTTAAAATATGTCTTCTTTTAGTTTTACTGAAAAGAGTGAAATTTCTATAGACTAAAATCACCTTCCACAAACATTTTTTTCACAATAAATTGCCCCAATCCAACCCAGAAAATGATTAAGTATTTAAGTACAAATCGCTAATTTTGCGCCTCGCTAAAATTTCCAATTACACGGTATATTTCCAATTTCAAAAATTTTGAAAACAATTAATAAAGTGTGAAAATCAAAATGATAACCTTTTGGTTATATTTTTATTATATTTAGTATGCTTTCATGTATTAAAATGATATCTCTCATTGTTGGGTATTACAATATAAATGTAATATTTCCTTCCTAAGCAAACCTCAGTTTTTTTTCTATTTTGGAGGATTCGATAGAGGTATCGTTGTATGTCGTGTTTTGTAATCATATAAAACTTTCTTACTTTACAGGACTTTGTGATTTTGACCGATACTATCCAAGAACCGGTTGTAGTGGATCTTTGAAACAAACGGGAGAGTACAGCCTTTACGATTGTTTAAATGCCTGTCGTAATATTCCAATTCAATCCGAAGGTGAGCCAATTTTATTTCTTAAATTTTTTATCAAATCGGTATATGTAAGCAGGTCATTATTAAAATATTTGTAGGAATTCCATGCGGTCCTAATGCTTTCTATTAAGGAAAAAACTCCCAATTGTTTTCATTTCAAGTAGGGTAAGTCGGGGTACTTTCGACCACCGTTTAAGTTTGGACAAAGCAACATCGCCCTGCACAATAATTTACGGAATTATTGAGTCAAGCAGAAAAATTGAAATTAATGAGAATTGTTTACTAGTATATTTGAAAACAGTCAAGTTTTGCAATTGGGATTAAAAAGCCATACGTCAGCAAAAGTGGTACAACTTACCCCAATTTACCGTAGATTCAAATGCCTGCAAATAGTTATGTTGTTCAGCAAATAATAGTCGAGGAGGTCTGAGTAACTATTGCCATACTATGGTGAGACTTTCGCGAGACAATCAGCTTAATTATTCAAAGAAGTATCTTTAGTTCTCTACACATAAGAAGTTGTGTTACACTGAAGTGGAGACATGATGAACGAAAAAAAACCCATTCTATTTCATCGTTATAAGTTATAGTTTTTGTTACCCCACCCATCTCACTTAAATAAATGGTTAAAAATACCCAAGCTTCTTCAATTCGGATATTTCTTAATTTTTCGTTGTTAATAATAATATGCACATTTCGTTTACGAACAAACATACTTGCGTGCAATGAAATTATTACATCAGTCAATAGTCGTCTTTCAGATGATCTTAAAAAAAAGAATGTTGTCAAAACTGGCTACTTTGAACTTTCTGGCATGAAAAAGATTTACTGCTCAATCGCACTGAGTACCGAGTATACATGTATGTATAATTTGCAGCCTTCCACTGGCATTGCTGCAAGTTGTGGCATATCAAGAATTCTCAAAATGAAAATTCTTATATGTAGAATTCTCAAAAAGGGGGGGGGGAAACAAGCAGACGAAAACTACCTGACTGTTGCATATTACTGTATATAGCTTTTTTGATGAATACTCTTGATTAGTTCCCCGTCTTTTAATAGGTGAGGAATGCTGGGGTGTCGGGTTCTACCAGGGATATACCGAGGACGACTGTTGGATGTTTCTTTCTGTTGATCCAGAGGCATGCTCCAAATCCAGCTTTTCAAATAACAACATTGATATGTACCTTAAGACATGTTTTACAAGTAAGTTTTAATATATATATATATATATATATATATATATATATATATATATATATATATATATATATATATATATATATATATATATATATGTAATGACAATGCAACCAAGACGAAATACATAATGATGCCTTTTGATTCAATATTATTTATCACGTAGGTTGTACTCGTTAATATGTTAGAGTTGCTTGCCTGTAATTATTTTTTGAAAAGTACAAATTGATGTTTCGCTTTTCTGATAATCTTGTCATGTATATTTGATTTTTCAGATGAAGTAAATAATACGATTCTGGCGGATAATTCGGTAGCCCTAATTCCCGATACCTCCTGTATGGTCAATATACCATTGATATCGTCCACGCAAGGGGATTTCACCATGCAGAGTACAAATTCAGTTTGTAAGTTATCCTACTGACTATGAAAATTAAATGCACTTAAGCTGCACATCTGTAGCTCGCTGTTTTGAAAAAAATTGGGACGGAAGACCAGAGGGCAGTCAGCTACTATGCCATACATTGAAAAAGTGTATTTTTATTGCCCACAAAAAGTGCGTTTTTTCTCGATTTTTTCCTCCTTTTATTCAAGCTTCCATCTCAAAATATTAAAAACCTTGTTTCCAACATATTCTTTCACTATCTTTCTGGACCATCGAAAATTTCGCCAATGTATACTGCCATTTAAGAAAATTCGGTCCAACGCGCCTTATACTTGACTTGTACTTATAGAGTTTTGTTTTGGGAAGTAGTAAAAGGATATGCTGGGAACACATGGTCATTAAATATTTTATGTATAATGAAAAATAAATCTGAAAAGGACTTTTTTGTGTGCAATAAATATACCTATGAATATTTTAACGGGTGGGCATTGTACTTCTGAAGGTTGTCCCATCAATACATGTTTTAATGCGTTGTTTCTTGTTTTATTTTTCGCTGTACAGTTAAGCTTCCATTTCTATAATGTAGCTTTTTATCTGGTCGTCCATCCCAAAATTTTTTTCCGACCCTCGAGCTACAGATCTACAGCTATGAAAGCATCAGTGGGGGAAAAAAGAATATTCCTTTCCTGTCCTTTAGAATAGAATTTTTATCGTTTTTTTTTTATCAGAATGACTCATCTAGTCATATTTCAAGGGATTGTTAAGCAAATCAAAACACACATTGGGAAATATTTCCTCTTCCCATTTTGCAGGAACCTAGCTGCTAGAACAAAAGAATGCTAAAATTTTATGTGGCAGTTCAATCAAATTTTTGCCTTCAAAATACGCCCAGATTCCTGCCGAATGACAATTATAAGTGCATTGCGGGTTAAAATTCTGTGAATATAAAACTAATATGACGTCATTATACTTGCTGGACTATTCGTCTTTCTTTGAGGTAAAACGTCCAGATTGAAATTTATGATGATGATTGGGTTAATTTTGTCAAAGTCTGATAGTATCACATTAAAAATTAACGGTTCTTATACAGGAAAGTTCATCAGATGAAAAGCTTGACGTCAAAGAAATGTCAATATGATTTTATCAAAAGAATAGTTGGGACCGAAGTGTGTGATATAATATAAATGATAAAAGGATTTCAAAGAATCGGAAAAATAATAGAAATAAACAATTTACTTTCACCATACATATAATACGAGTATAATTTAATTTTAAGTTTAATTCAAAGTACCAATATGCATATTTAATTAATTTCTTTCCAAATTAAGAAATGCACGTTATGTTTAACGTGTTTTTGAGCTGTATGAATGAACTTTTCAGTATTTTTACAGTACAGTGTTTGGTGTATTTTAATGTGCCGACAAAAGTCATGGTTAACAAATATCAACCAAATTGCCAAGAACTATGAATAAATAAAGCAAGAAATTGAGTTTTTAAATTTGTTATTAGGATTTACAGATATCACTTTAAACTTAGATAAATAAATAAATGAATAAATAAAAAAGTTAGCAACGTTCATAAGTAAAGTCAGACCATCTTATAATAATGACTTGTCAGATTAATATCTAGACAGAGTTTAATTAAAAAAATGTGGGTGGATACAATCTCTGATTGGATTGTGGCTGTTATTTTGTTTTACCCCTTTTTATGGCAGACAGCAGTTTAAGACATTTTGTATATGTTTTTGAATCTTATAATGTTTATAGGGTCGACTTGAAATACACGAATACCACAGGCGCTTGACGTTTTATAGGGGATATTTTCATTTATGAAAAGAAAGCTTAAAAATGTCAAGCGCTTGTGATGAATACTGTACCTTGTGAAAGATCATAGGGTTTGAATTCGTATTCTAGTCTGGTTTACCCCCCTTTTTCCTATGTACATCAAGTTACAAAGACATTATGGTGCTGGGGGTCAAATCGTGCAATACTTTGCCTAAGATGTGTAATACTCTATTTGAGTCCCCCTTTTCTTACCCCCTTTTTTTCTTACCCCCTTTCTTTTGTAAACTGTGTTTTACTTCTTTTGTCATTTACTTTAATAAATGACATGTTTCACTTCTATATGATGTTTTTTTTTTTGCCTGCTTCTAACAAAAAACAAGCTCATTCGTTTGGCAGGAGAACTTAAAGGAACATAAATAAAGAAATTAGCAACGTTCATAAGTAAAATCAGGCTATCTTACAATAATGACTTGTCAGCTTAATATCTAGACAAACTTTAATTAAAAAAATGTTTTATTCAGTTTTTTATCATGATTAAATGTTTTAAGCATAATATGTCAATATTTGTTACATTTATACAGTTGATAGTTTTTGCTCCACTGTTCAGTCCAGCACTGTTCAAAGGGAGACAACTTTATATTCTACAAAGCACTTTATGTATAAGCACAGACGCACTTTTGAAAGCTGTATGAATGTTATCGTTTTTGAAGTTTTATATTCGTTTAACCACGTAAACGTTAAACTGAGGACTATTATCCAATTTCATTTCATTAGCTACAAACTTATGAAGATAAAGAATGCATTTTTTCCTGATACAAAGTATTGCACGAATGCCAGAATGGATATCCTCCCAGGAAGTCAAATTCCATGTTGTGTGCTGCATGTTTGTGAATACCACTAAACAGTTAAAAGTGTGCTGGATATTTGTTTGTCTTTTAATGCTATTTCCTTTGATTTTTTTTTAAATATGCATGATACCTACATGTATGTATCGTCCTTTAAGGATAAATGATACGTTACCCAATGCTTTTTCGCAAGATTTGTCATTAAAGTAACTTTTATATTGTTTTCTAACAAAGGATTGAGGTACCTTACCAGACATATGTGCAAAATACAAGAAGATGGTATTCCCTTACAATCCTTTTGAAAATTACTTAAATAGCCAATTTTAATTTTTTTTTAACCTTTTGATTTTTCTATGACAATCGGAAATCTGTTGAGAAATTACACTTGTAATAATAATTTGAATAACTTTATAACATTACGAAGAGATACAAAACAGATATTATTACAGTTGTTACAGTATGCATAACTGTAAATGTATATCTTCGTAATACACAACATGTACATTCATCATAAATATCATCATCTTGTAATTCTTAAAACTTTATTTAAAAAGATAAAGTAGATAAAGACACACTCATACAAAAAATGTAATATTGACAATGTTAGTAATTTTCAAAATGATTTTATAATAAAAAAAAAATCTGGTATTTTGCAAAAATGCCTGGATATGTACTTTAATTTTTTGAGGGAACTTTAATGGCAAATGCTTGGGAAAAAATATAATATTGAGGAAGTGTATGATCTTAATTAGCATTTGAACGCTCAGGCCCGTAGTAACAGTTTTAAAAGTGGAACTGGGTCGTTTAAAACTTGAAAATCCTATTCAGTGGGGTGCCTGTTTTCAAAAATCTGTTCTTTATTTCTTTCTTTTTTGTTGGTATATTTATTTTTTAATCCTGGAATTTGCCAGTGCTTTACCTTAAAGCAATAAAAGGGGAAATCAGCATCTAAATCAAGATTTACTATAATGAACATAGCATTTTTTGCAAAATGCTGACATATATACCCGGTAGTTGCAGGGCCTTAAATGTTTTCACTTCAGTCGTTATAAAACAGGGTTTGAAATTTTTCATGTTGGATTATCAAGTGAAATTCTGATGACAATATTTTAGATGTTGTTCATTTTTTTCAGCTATTACGATGACAACAACCAACAATCCAGATGTTTGTACTTGCCCATGCAGAGCAAATTCTACGAAATCAATAGAACAACAACTGATGGACATTAAAAAAGAATTAACCATTAATAAAAAGAAAACCTCAGCTTACCTAAGAACTCTGTCTTGTGCGGATGATTATCGCTCCAGTTCTAAGGTGATTGGTTATGCAGGTATAATATTCATCGTGTTGGAAATATCATTGTTTGTATTTCTAGATAGTCCAAACTTAATGAAATTGTTTAAATTCATTTACAAGAAAAGGTGAAGGACAGTGAAGATGTAGACACTATTTTATAAAATTTAGATATTGCACATTTTTGTGTCAGATACAGTGACTTGTTTTAAGCATGTGTTTTGAATTGTTTTTGTGAAAATAATAAATGTATACGTCATTTAAGACTTCTTCTTCTGTTTGTATCATTACTTGTATGTACATTTCTTTTGTTAAATTCTTTTTTTCAGTTTTTGTCAGCATTGTAATTTTTATGTCCGTTCATAAATTTGCCGTGGAATGATGTCAACCAATCTTTCATTCGGGTGTATGTTTGCTGTAAGGCTATACTCTCGGGAAAATGTTATATATTATATGTTATATATTATAAATATTTTACTGTAAATGTGTTTCTTGTCTCAGAATGCAATGTTTGTGGAACCACGAACATTTCAAGGTTTCTATGGAGTTGTCTCTCTTTCTTTGATACTCGAAACTCGAAAACAAAAGCAATACGTTAACTCCCCCTCTCCTGATAATAAACTGAAACTACACTGTAATATTTACATTTCCAATGTCTTTGTCCGAGATAAAGTTACCAATTGTAAATGTACTTTACTTCTCCATCAATGTATTGGCGCGGTTCCAAAAAAAAAAAAAACACGTGCAGGGCGGGACAAACAGCTAGACAGAAGCAGGGCTTGGAGCACGTGGATTGGCGGAATCAAAGCATGTAAATATAAGGAATAACTGTCAGATTTTTCAATTTCATGAAGATGATCAATCGATTGGCACATTGCGTTTTTAAAAACAAATCGATAATTTTATGATTACATAAACGCCTTCATGTTCAAATATATGTAAAAGGTATCAAATATGAAAAATATCATAATACATTTAGAGCTGCAGCCTTATTCCTTAAATAAACCTGTTATGCATCAAGCCTGCTTTTAAATAATTTTACATAATGATGTCCAGAGCTACCAACAAAAAAATTCCTTCGGATACAATACAAATGAAAAAACACATAGTAATTAGAAATTAAACAATTTAAATCAAGAATTCACTGGGTGTGTTCAATTGTTAAAGTCTGCACACACCACTGAGCACACACTGACAATATACTCTGAGAGTGTTTTCCTTTCGAACATTTTTACTCTTAATTTTCTAGATTATAGTTTTGATATTTTTATTAATTTACAACAAAATTCTACTTTTCTTGAGTATTAAGAATAAAATTATAATTTGTGAAAGTGCAAGGACGTGTCAATCAAACCCGACCAGAAATTCGAAGTTTCAATGACTTCGAGAAGAAATTACATTTTTATTATATTTCCTTGTGAAATGCAATTGCAATATATAAGTCGTAATATTGTACAGAAAATTTGAGAAAATAGTATCTTCAAATCTGTATCTATACACCCTTAAATAACAGGACTCAATTACTTAGCATGGGAATTCCGCAAGGTTTTTCAAAAACTACATACTATGCTCAGTGTACGATCTGTTACCAACACCAGCCAATCTACACAGAAGGGGTCTCATAGAAACACCGGAGACCCCCCTTTGTGGAAAAAGAGGAACCCTACAGCACATTTTATCCTCCTGCTAGGTGGCATTATCACAGGGAAGATACACTTGGCGTCATAATCAAGTTCTAAAAGAGATAATAGACACTATAGAGAAAGAGTGGAAAAATAAAAGCAAACATACACAGATTTGCTTTGTACAAGAAGGTGAAACAGCGAAGAAGAGAGAAGAAAAGACCCCCGGAATACTTAACCAAGATGGCTGTATATTTAGGTCAGAAACTGTCATTTCCAGAGGTAATGTCAACCTATCTCAGACCTGATATGGTACTGTTATCATCAAGTACAAAGAATATCATAATCATAGAGCTGACAGTTCCCTGGAAAGAAAGATACGATGAGATCCATGAAAGGAAGAAGTCAAAATATGACCTATTGCTGGCAGAGGTTTTTCTCAGTAAGATTTCTGGTAAAAGGACAGCTTGTAATCAAACAATGACAATTTTACTGTGGTTTTTATTTTTAAGAATAGATGATACAAACAAAAAATAGATACCTGGATTGGTTTATATTTTTAGACCTATTTTTGTTGCAAATGATGCAACTAATATATTTCCATAATATTAAGAAATTGTAAACCTTCTATGATGTTCAAAATTCTAACTCTCTGTAGCCATCCTTAGTAATCTATGCAAATATTTTCACTTCACATTATTCCATTTTTGTGAAACTGTGAATTAAAATTAAACACTACACATAAAACTGAATTGTTCGTTTTACTCAATGAAACATGACTCAGGTTATTAGTTTCAATTTTTATGATAAAAGTTTGTTTGTTTCATTTGTCCTTAAAAACTTTTTAAAAAAATTGAGTGGCGGATTATATATGGTGAACGAAGTTCAAATATGGGAGAATGATTACTATATAGTATCTGATGGTAAAGTCTTTTACTATAAAGCAAGAAATATTACGACAAACTGATCAGCACGGGTCCAGGCGTTGCAAGTGGAGACAGGCAACTCAAGTGGCCTAGAATCTTTTTCCTTAACTGAATTCATCTTCTTTTTGTATTTTTTATCACACAATAAATAGTAATCGGAGAAATATTCAGCAATTCAGAAAAATCACCACATGTAAACAACCCCATTTAGGCATAGTTACTGATACTGATGTGAACGTGTTTTCCTGGACAATACTCATATTTGTAGTAGTTATAGGTATTTTCGAAAAAAATTTCTTCTACCATTATTTAGTATACACGTGTAAGAGAGAAAGTTTTTCAATCATAGTATTTTCATTCAGCATCTTTTTACATGTTATAATAATTTGATGTAATATCTACAGCTTCATATCAGTCAAGCCATCTCTTTGTGAACCAATGACAGAGTCAAGTGAAATGCTCTTTCTTAAAGATTTTTTTTCAATGAAAAAGCTGAACATACAGTAATAATTTTATTAATTTGATGAAGTTTTTAATATACACATAGTGTATAAAATTACAAAGGAATGAAAAAAAAAATTAATTAAACACCTGTACCCAAATTGATCTTGAAAAATGTTTTTAGCTTCTGTATATTAATTTTACAAAGATGCGTTAATTGACAGCTGACACTCTTAACGTTCGTTCCTTTTCTTTTCTAAGCCGGTGAATGATGCTTAACTGATCCTCCGTTCTGCATGTCTGGCCCTCTATCCCGAAAGTCTTAGTAGCTGGAAGGACCCGATCAACCTTTGAATCAGAATGTTTTATATTTTCGAGTCGTCTACAGGTGCGATCCAACTTCCCTTTGCAATCCTCAAGATCAGATAACATGGCGCGGATCTGGTTCACACATTTCGTTTTCTGACTTTGTGTTTTGCGTTTTGTTAAAATAGACGGGCTCTGTGGCAAGGGTGGTGGCGGTGGTATGAGGCATCCCGAATCACTTTTTAATCGGGTACCATCGGCACTCGTCGCTGCACGCTCTAGTCTCAGTTGACTTGCTCTGTTTGCACCAGAAGATCGTCTGGAACTCACATCTGCGTGTTTCGATGACCGTTTTAGTGAATCTACACTTTCTGATCTCCTGTGGGAATTTTTCGTTGGATTTCTCTTGGACTCAAATCTGGGGGTCCACATTTCTTTTGGATTATCTAGATTTAGCTGAATATTAGTTTTGGTGAGTGCTGTCTTTGGTATTACTAGATTTAGGTATTGGTTGAAACGCAGGTCATTTTTATTTAGAGACTTCCCATGGTGTGCGGAAAACTGTAGTGGTGAAGAATCCCGCACGGGGGCCAAATTCAGGTTTTTGCCCCTGTCATTAACTGTCAAGGACCTGGAGAAATCTCTGTCAGTTTCGGACATATCTTTTTCACTGAAAAAAAAATTAAATTTGAGGCATAAATTAAATAGCTGCAGATCTGTAGCGTTATGGTTTTATATATTTGTCTTTGACCATAACGCTACAGATCCCGTAGTGCAAAAAAGGTGCAATTTACGGCGCAATATTTTTTGCGCTCTTTTGGGGAGAATTTCTCCACTTCCTAGCTTTGGTCAATCAACTACCTTTCACGTTCTAATTCTAGACAGATTCTGTAGCCAATATGTATAGTTTATCCACCTCCCATCCATTTATAGTTGTCTCTACGGGCAATAAACTCGCTGTATATGAATTTTCAGTAATCTAACAAATAATTTTAATCAAGCGAGTTTATCACTTGTAGAGACGACTATAAAGGGTTGGGAGATGGATAAAATATACAGATTAATTAAATAATGTGTCTAGAATTAGGGGTTGAAAGGTAGTTGATTGAACGATGCTGGAAAGTGGAGAAATTCTCCCCAAAAGAGCGCAAAAAATATTGCGCCGTAAATTGCACCTTTTTTGCACTACGGGATCTGTAGCGTTATGGTCAAAGACAAATATATAAAACCATAACGCTACAGATCTGCAGCTAAAATTAAACTACATTTTTATTTATTGTGAGTGCAATAATTAGTATGTTGACCTAAATTTTGTGACTTTTACTAAGATCTTCATAGTGCTATTGTTATCCTCTTTTAAAAATCATGGTCTAATTAAATTCATTTTTAATTAGAAGATTAAAAGCCATTCATTGTAAGTAGGTTTAATAAGTACATAAAATACCCTGCGTCTTTCTCTATGTTTAATATTGCGAAGATGTCGAAGTTTTCGGCGATCGAGCTGAAAGAAACAAAAACAATATGTCAAACATGCTTTAGAGATTATAAAAATTATAGGTAGAGAGGGTACGAACGGTTTGTTCCGATTCCTTAGGCGACAAATTTAAAAATTTCAGCAAAATGGTTTTTTTTAAATATAAGTTGTATACTTTATTTCATATCGAGCGTAAACATTTGAATGATTTTTGTAGTAAAATACGTCACAAATATTACATTATTGCAATAAAAGGAAAGGAAAGTATATGCTGACGCTTAGCTTTCAATTTAATATTCTGCTTAATACTTTATACCGCCATTCAGCAATTTCATTCAATCAAACAGGTTTTACTTTGCCTTGCGTAACTTTTTTGGTTGAGATTTTGATCACATATAACAGAATTATAGTCAAAATTGCTGACCACAAGAGTTAATCGGCTTATAGATACATTTGAGTGCTAACTGAATTCATAAAAGTCATGTTCATGAGAAAAACACCTTTAAAAGTTTCTCCAGTGGGCTGTTAATTTTCTTAAAGACCAGTCTACCGGCTGACCAAGCCCTTTCAAACTCGATCAAGGGAATAAAATTTGTTTTTCAAGTGACAGTAATCGTTTGGTTAAACCAAAGGCTAATCAGTTTTTAGATTGTGTTAAATATTGTTGTATAAATCCTTAAAATGAAATAAAGGGAATTTGGAGATTTGTAACTAAAGATAACACAACAGAATAAAAACCTTACTAGATTCTCTTATACAAAATATGTTGTTGTTACATATTATCTTGTATAAACAGTCTATAGCTACATGCAATAAAAAAGATGGCTTAAAACTTATAGATAAATGCATATATCTTATGAAGACAAACTGAAAATCAAATTTGATGGATGTAAATCAATGCAATTTGGGTTCAGATAATTTCATTTTTAAATTCAGTATTTTCTACCAGTTAATGTAAATGCAATTATATAAGAAAATAATTAACATTATGTTAACGAAAATTCAGCCTTTTTTAAAATAGTTTTTAATCGAATTCGATTGTTAGACATTATAATGTTAAGAAATACCCACCAAGCCGTAGATCGGATTCTACTGAGGTAAGGATCAGGCAAAGGAAGCTTGTTTTGTCGGGTAACCTCCATGGCATGTCTAAACTTCCCCACAGATGAACAAAGTTCTTTATATTGCTGAATATATTTGCTACTGTTCTCAAAGTGACTGAAAGGATAGCTAAAATTTTTTGATGATTGGCCGAACGTTCTTCTATACGAACTCGGCACTAGGCACTGCTTTGGGTTAGAATTTCGGTTGTCTTTTTGCATTGTCTGAGCTTCACTTTTATGCCTACAAGTTGTTTTCCACGGACTTAAAGCATCGTTTTCATGAAAGAGCATATTTGAAAGGCAGTGACAATTTTCGGGTTCTGTAATTTCAATCCGTTTTGCAGCAAACCTCATAGGGACCGAACCAAACCTGCAAGATCCGGTTTCTACAGACAATCCGTCTATTTCACTCTTCATGTCATAATCATGTGGTCTGTAACGCTCGAACTCACGATTTCCATCCGATACTCCGCTGGATGATACTCCCGTGGAAGAGGATGCAGCCGATAATCTCGCACTTCTTTCACTTTGAATTTCAAATTCAGAAGCACACACCGTTGAATCGCTATCATATGCTTCATCCTGGCTAATTTCAAGTAAATGACTGTTATACAAGTCGATTTCAGTCTCTTCGTCCAGCATCAACAGCTCTTGACGCTTTTTACGATAAATAGAGGTTTTTGGTCTACGTTTGTGTTGGTAAGTACCATGTTTCCTTGAAATAGCACCAGCTGTAGAGGGTCTGAACATATTCCTATGCATGATGATGGACTGTAGTCTTTTCATCAATGAATAAGAGGCTTTCACAAAGTGTCACACATTGTAAACATTCATTACACACGAATTATTTCAAATTGATTTTATTTTAATGAGGCCCATTTCCGATATTTGCTATTGAATTCTTCTAGTATGATGCCATCACGGGTAATCTAAAAGGGAGATAAAAATTATTCAATGATAAATATTGCATTTAACACATTTTAGATGTTTATTATATGCATTTTTAAAAAGTGCCGTGTTTGATTAATAAAAAATCAATAGTTTAAAAATGATCTTTTTTTCGGGGAATTCTCTTTTAGCATGTGAATTTGAAAGACCATTTAAACACAAAATATTAGGTAGATTGCTCAAAGAATTCTTATAAAACAATCAGTTGCATTGGTAAATGTTTTTCTTTCATATCAGTTTACAAGTTCTATTTTTTTTCTAATCAGTCAATTTTTAGATAATAAAACATTATTGACATAAAATATAAACCAGATGAGCTATAAAAATATAGAAAAAAATAAAGGCTATAGATAAAATTCCATTTTCTCCAGAAGCGCATTAATCGTTACAAATTAGATTATCAAATTCTTCTGCTAAACATTTTGAAAAAGATGAAAGCAATGAATAGTGAATTGAGACGTCCGAAGTGATATCAATCAAAGAGATAAAATTAAGCACATGCTCACCGAAGGTTTAAATTAAAATACCTGTACATCATATAATTGAATTCACAGGAAAAAACTTAAATCTGGCTTTTTAATGAAAAACTTACATGGATATCCCAATATCTGTTGATATATCAGAGAGCCTTTCCAACATATGAAATTAACAACAAACCTAATACGATTCCAAACAATGTCAGGTTTGTACATTAAAGACAGAGGAATTTAAACTGAAACCTAATCCCTCTCCACAATGGCTAGCAAAATTGCCGACTGAAAGCGATGGCTTTCATTATGACTTTAAATTTTCTTTGTGCAATCTTCGTTCACAGTGCATCGGTTTTCTAAAACAAAGACTTCATTTTTTGCTTCTGGTGGGCCAAACTATGACACGAGATACTTATCATTTCAAAGTAATCTTTACCATTGACATAATGTTTTGTAAGTGAACTTAAAATAGAAATTAGGAAAATTAAATACAAATGTTAGGAGATATAGGAAAGTAATAACTCGATACAATCCGACGAGCACATTCATATAATACACTTGATAAATAGATATTGTGCAAATATATACTATCCTGTATGGTTCGTGCGAATGCTAAATGCACTTGACACTAACTAAGTAAATATTGAGTCATTTTATGTATATTGACATAAGGCCACACCAATAAAAAAAATTGTTCGTCGGACCCGCGCGCTCGTATTTAAACAAAACTATACAAATAATATTAATTTAAAATCCCCGCACCATGGGAATTCTGTGCTGTTTTCTGGTATATTTCCGCTCTATTTATCGTACTTTTAATCAACTTACTCTGCAAATCAGAAAAAATACAATTGTCCACTCAAATTTTTTCACGCTCCGCCTAAAAATCTTGCCTACAAAAAAGTAATAATATTATTATTTAACCGCTAGCCCGCTCGTACTTTTTTCATCAAATGTCCGAAGAACAAGAAATTAAATTGGTGTGGCCTAACTAGAAAGAAATGTTTTTTCTATTCATGTAGTTTACTAATTAGTATATTTTAATATTTTTACTTCCAATACAACATACGCATATCCTTGATAATCACAATTTACTGTCTGTTTCCTATCTCAACATTGCCATTTTTCTCAATATAATATACTTTCCATTGTCATCAACAAAATATATTTCCATTTCTAATTTTTTTTTCTCTGTGATAACTCTGAAAGTTGTCGGAGTTTATTTCTTGATAATTCTGCCGGAATATAAATTACGCAGGTCGATAGGTCAGGAACTGAGGAGGCCTAATATGATGCAAATCTCGTGCGCATCTGTCTCTGTGTCTGACGCAAAGGAGGCCAAATATGCATGTAAATCTCGTGCGGCTGCCTATGTGTTTGACGTTAGTGGGCGAGGACTATTGGAATTGGCATGGGAGTCCTCGTGTAATTTTAGTCTATGTCTACATTTTTAAAGTCTAAATCTACAATTCTATTTCACAATGAAATGGAAATATAAGGAATCACTTTCTAGTTAGTATAGTATGCCAGGGACATCAACGATAGTGGGAAACATGGGATAGTTTATGCATAAAGGGCTTCGCCCGTTATGCAAATTATCCCATGTTTCCCACTATCGTTGATGCCCTGGCATACTATACTAACTAGACAGTGATTCCTTAAATACCCCCGGTAATTTAATAGTTCTGGTATATTCAGTTTTTTTACTAATTCAGAAAGTCCATACCAGCTGCCTGAGACATGGACGTACAGATACTAGTATGCCAACCTTCTAGGTTTTGTGAACCGTTATATTTTATATTACTTACCTACACATACGTTATATTTACCTCTAAAAGTACGATTTTTATTTACTTCTGTCATGTTGTAAATTTTGAATTAACAGGCTGGCAGTAGCATGACGCACCCCTCGGTTTCCATGCATATATAACACTACAACCAAATCAAAGGCCTGTGAACCAAATTATACGATCCACAAAAATTATGTAAAACAACTGCAATTATCCTTCTTCAAAATCTAAACATTTAGGCTAGAGGATTTTTCATTTTCGATTTTCGTCTTAAAAATCATTTCTGTCTGCAGTAAACTTACTAGGTACCTTTTTTCTTTCTCCCACTAGTTCTCTCATAGTGTTTACATTTAGCTAAATGTGCAATTTAAATAACCTAATTCTTATTTCCCCCCCCCCCCCATTATTTACTTTCTCGGAGACAATTAATAATTTATATTGATTAACTACTGTGCTCATCGTTAGTGGGCTTTATTGATTTTACTGGGTTAAATTATTTTCACAATGATTGACATAGACAAACATCAGTTAAAAACAACTATTTTTAATCATGTATTTTTTTAAGGGCATAGAAAACTATATTGTACCCGAGAATTTGTTGATTCAAGCTTTATACATTACTAGTACGTCACAAAGAAAAACTGAATATTGATCAGACACTAAAAAATGTAACAAGTTCCATCAGTGTAAGACTAAAAATACAACTGTTAATACACAAATAAAAAAAAAAGCAGAAACGTCATTTATCAAGTTTATTAAAAAAAATTAATGAACAGCAAAATGTCTATTTTTTAAAATGGTTGTAGTTTGGAATTTGAACTGGAAGAAACATAGAAGAAAAAAAATATAGATTCTATTATATATATATATATATATATATATATATATATATATATATATATATATATATATATATATATATATATATATATATATATATATATATATATATATATTACAGAATCAGCTGAAGCAAATGATGAATAAAATCAAAAATTGATTATTAAAACTACTGGCATCGATATCTATCTATACTTTAATAGATTTTTGTCAATTACATTAAAGGTTCAAATTTTACTCTTAAAATTTATTTTGAAGAATACATGAGACGTACCAAAGTCTTCTCTTCTTTAACAACCGAACTCAGAGAGGACTAAAACGAGCCGTCTACTCCAAAATACATGCTCAAGCGTTGCTAGAATACACTGTACTAAAACTGTAAGAAACTAACGCATGATAATGAAATATTTCTTTCTCCAAAACAGACCATTTGCTCGCAATATCTACAAATGAAACCCATTTTAGAGATATGAACTCCTCGTCTTTAAAGAAAAGAAAAGTTCTCTTAGTTGGAAAAGGGTTTCAAAACTTTTTAAGGGGAGTTGACAAACAAACGACGGTCGAGATAATTGAACTCAAAACATCCACTTCACATGAAGTAGCGCTTCTCAGCTGAACTATTTGATAACTGTCAACAGAAGTATTGAAGGGAATGTTTGCAGATATCTAATGCAAATGTTTTTTTAACTTTGTAGAAAACCGCCACAAAAAAGATAGAAAGCATTTTGAGATAGCAATAAATCCTCACAATTTGTAATTACTATACATTAGATAATATAGTGCAAGGAATTCATTAGATAAACTTTAAAATAATGTACGTTTGACCTCTCCCGACGAAAGATTTGGGTCGGTAGGTAGGTGGGGAAAATTGTTTTCCTAAAAAATTCAAAATGTTTTTCCGGAATGAAAAAAAAAAATGTTTCCTGGAGATTATAAAGATTGAATGAAGGCATTTTTAGCCAGTTGTTTGGGAGATTGCAACCAAACAAATTTTTTAACGATGGCTTTGAGTATTTTTTTTTATTATCATGCTATGTTGAAAATCGTCCGGTCAAAATTTATATTTTTGAGCAAATTTTGTCATTTTTTAAAAAAAATTTTGAGATGTGTTGCGATTGCTTTATTTTTCAGATGTTATTACGTCCTTATTTCTTTAATGTTAATTATGAGGGAAGAAATCATAATGCATTATCCATTAAATTCAAATAGCTATACATATAAAATAGTTAAATTTGGAAAGAGAAAAAAATATATTGTGAAATTTGAAATTATCTAAGCTTACATAACTCCTTTTCTATGGTGGTAAAGTAAAAAATAATTGTTGAAATAATTTTAAAGACCAAGAAAAATAACTTTCTACAGCAAAAGGAAAAATATAACAAGTGTCACTTTCACTTGTTTCTTCCAAAAACTAATAAGATTTTCAAAGCAATGCTTAAAATATTTATATACACTTCTGAACTACATGTAATAGAAATGAAGTCTTTCTTTTTTTCTTTTACATTCTTATGTTGTTCAGAGAGAGAGAGAGAGAGAGAGAGAGAGAGAGAGAGAGAATTTTATGAAATTGAAGATCATTAAAATAATCAGAGCTCTACAGAAATGGATATTGATTTATTTACTTACTTGGTTAGCATGACAGTGAATATATACACGTCTGTTTAATCCTTCTTCAAACGCCTTGTCGAGCCACAGCGCTTTGACAAATCTTCCTTCACCCAAGGGTTAAAAAGTATACATGGATATATAAATGTTCAG